ACTAAAGTCACATCATCCACCACAGCAGAGGAACTCAATGAAGCACAAGTACGATGTCACAGTACTTGTAGTCCATTGACAACTTCTTCCAGTTCCATAACTGAATGTCTGTACCTCAGTATAGACCTGAGCTGGAGGAACATTCTGCAGGAGCCAATGCTTTGCACCCATGGTCAACTTGCTTTGCAGGCTTAAATGGGCTTATAGGGCAGCACAGTGGCTAAATGGTTAGCCCTTCCGCCTGGCAGTACTAGGGTCATTGGTTCAAATCCCAGCAATGGCACCACCTGCCTGGAGTTTGCATGTTCTCCCTGTGCCTGCGTGGGTTTCTTCCAGGTATTCAGGCTTCCTCCCAGACTCTAAAGACATGCTGGTAGGTTAATTGGCTCCTGTCTAAATTGTCCCTAGTATGTGTATGTATGAATGTGAGTTAGGGACCTTAGATTGTACACTCCTTGAGGGTTAGGGACTGATGTAAATATACAATATATATGTAAAAGCACTGCATAAATTGATGGTGCTATATAAGTACCTGAAATAAATAAATGTAAAAAATATTAAATGCACATTTTTACCATTTGCAATATGGGTGCATATATTTATTTTTAAAAAAGAAAATTCAAAAGATGGAATTCTTTTAAATGCTTCCACCAGCACACAGGTATTGCAGCTGAATAATTTTTTTTTTTTACTTTTTTTTTTTAATTTTTATCACATTTTTTTCTTGCTAGAGCTAGTAATTGTAAAACACAACTTACTTTTTTTTTTTTATAAATGAGCTACATATATATTTTATAGTTTTGTATACAAAATTTTCATTCTTGTAAATTATTTGTGAAATTTGGCAATATATTTAGAAACATTTAGTACAACCTACATTTCCATGTTATCAGCCATTTGAGACTGGGGAAGAAGGGCCTTTCAGCTTGACCTCTGTCATGTTTCTATGGTGTTGCACACAATGCATTGACCACTTACCCCAGCTCATGAATGCTTTCTAATGTTCCTTCACACCTACACATATGTAGACAAGGTTCGCTTTGGGTGTAAGCTGATGATGAGCCCTGAGGAAGTCACATGGTACTGTGATGCAATGCGTCGGCCTGACGTTAGTGACGCACTTCCGGCGTAGTGGCCATCTTGGTACACCTGTTGTACACCCATACATATTCACCTCATCCGAAAGCATGGGGTTGGAGTTATGACTGCTACTATTCAAATGTGAGTGTGCATTTTTTTACTGTTACTGTCCCTATATCAGTAATAAATATACTACACTATGGGAGCATGTGTTTTATGTTCCAAATGAGATATTGGCGCTGCACTTGATCTTACCTGGAGAGGAGCCATTAGTGGAGTGCTGACCCATTGAGGGATTTGTGTGCGGCGAGAGCGGTTATTTGGAGTGACAGCTAACTTGAAGGATCTGTGAGGAGGATCCCGTAATGCGCTTTGACCCGCAAGGGTCGAAGTTATAAGGTGAGAGGCTTATCCAGCCGGTGGTCGGATTGTCTTCTGTCAACTACCATATCCAGGTGCACACAAATACCAGAACAAGTGCTTTTCATCTAAGGGTTATCATCTGCATATATTGGACTTTAGGAGCAATGATTAGATTTTTTTTTTGTGGTTGCACTGTATTATGTTCACTATATGCACATTTGATTTCATATATTTTTTTCACTGAATTGGGTATGTATAGAGAGATATATATGTGTGTATTTGTACACGGTTTGTCTGTATTTTTTTTATCCTTTTCTGAGGGTTGCATTTAACCACTTCCTGTCCGGACACTTTTACCCCCTTCCTGTCCAGGGCAATTTTCAGCTTTCAGCGCTATCACACTTTGAATGACAATTGCGCGGTCATGCAATACTGTACCCATTTGATTTTTTACCATTTTCTTGAGACAGATAAAGCTTTATTTTGGTGGTATTTATTCACCGCTGGGATTTTTATTTTTTTTTACTATGTAAATGAAAAAGTCCAAAAATTTTGAAAAAAAGTGTATTTTTTAAATAAAATTTTGCAAATAAATAATATTTCATCATAAATCTTGGCCAAAATGTATTCCGTTATTTTTTTAGTAAAAAAAAAAAAAAATCCAAATTAGTTTATAACCAAAAATTATAATTTTTTAAACATTTTTTTTTACATTTTTATTTTATTTTTTTTTATTATTATTTTTTTTTTTTTTTTTTTTTTTTACATACTGTCACCCTAGCAGTACAGTGTCACCATAGTGACACTGTACTACTTGTGGGGGGTGATGAAGATTTTTTTTTTTTTTTTTACACTGATTGCTTTTACACCCATATAGGATGTAAAAGCAATCATTTCTCTTTCTCTCTGTCTGCATTCTTGCAGTCATTGAGAAGTACTGAGTGAGCTGTGATTGGTCACAGCTTGTCACATGGTACAAGGCTGTTGTGAATAGCCTTGTACCATGTGACCTCTGTGATCATTCACAGATTTCACACGTAGTAAGCAATGATGTCACAAGTGACATCTTGCTTACTACTTGGCATGTCATCACTGATTCGCCAATCAGTGATCACATGATCGGGACCTCGTACAGAGGCCCCGTCCGACGATCGGTGTTTCACTGTGTCCGGAGGACACAGCAGACACCGGATCGCGGTGGTGCGCGCTCCCAGGGAGCGCGCACAACTAGAAAAGGCGGGTGCCGTTTAGGAACGGCAACCCGCCCCTGGACTGCCACCGCCCTGCCGTTTATAAACAGCAGGCGGACGGCAAGAGGTAATAAGCATTAGTAGTAATTAATATTTATCACCATCACGGTTGGAGTGTTTATGATTGAGTTCACATTTAATAATGTCCTAAAGATTTTTGCATGATATCACTTTGTTATTAGTTTATTTAGTGAATTTTCACTTATGATACACTATTTGATACTTTTTTATATATATATATATATATATATTTATATGTATATGGATATATGCACATTTGTGAATGTGAGTAGCGCTACATTTTTTCCATTTATAAGCTGATAAACTTACCAATATGTTCTCGGAATGTGAGTAGAAACCTGAACAGCTAGGGGAAACCCACACAAACGCAGGGAGGGCATACAAACTCCAGGCAGATGGCATCCCTCTCGGGAATTTACCTACAGGAAGTTATATGTGCACAGGATTAAAAAGCACTGCAAAGCTTTGTGGTCCATAATAGCTAATATTTATACACGTGTATTCAAATGATATGATCTGTTTCTATAAACCACACTGTAATGTAGGTTTCCTGTTTCCAACTGTTCACTGTCTTTAGGACAAAACAATAGTGCTACCCTTGCTTCTTTTCTTGTATTAGTGCCTACATGACAAAAGCCCATCAGTTCCCATCTGAGCACTGCCCCAGGCTGGAGGGTCACAGTGTATAGTCTAACAGACCCTCTTTGTCCTGTGTCCTTCTCCCTGGTGTATCTTCACCAATAAACACACCATCTCAGCCCTGTGACACGTTTCTCTGTTATATACAGACACAAGGAAGATCTAGCCGGTTTTTCAGAGTGTGTCATTGCCTGTCCTAGCTGAGCCCAACCGGCAAGCTGCACCTTGACAGCCTCCTTCAGAAAATATCTCCTCCTCTCTCCAAGACGTCTTGTTTGGATGGAAAACAAAGCATCTAGATGCAGCCAGCCTGGAGCATTGCTGAGGAGATGACCTCTAAGTTGCTGCCGCTCCTCTCTAGGTCATAAAGGATACTTGGTCCCTTGTGTGGAGTAAGCTAACCACAGCTTGTCAATGAAATTAAGGTCAACGGTCCTTTATTTTAGAGCAAAATGAACTGTGTTGAGGAAGCTTCACATCAATAGATATTTTACTCTCAGGGAAATCAGAGCCTGATCATCCACAAGGCAACCTAGGCATGAGCCTAGGGTATGGTGGACATCCAGTGGGTACAGCCACAACCTTCATTCTCCTTCAGTAAACCAGTATTGGGCAATTGGTCAGAACTGTGCACCTGAATGTTAGTTCACAAGAGATGATGTACTTGTAGGCAGTTGACCTCGGATAAGCCGGGCTATATCATTACAGAGCATGCAAAGAGTATGACTTCTGTATGTCTATTGCATGCCTATGCAAATGTCATTTGAAGGAATTTGAGGGCCAAAGCTTCTACCTTTGCCTGGGGAGCAATTCTATCTTAATCTATCTCTGTATGTAATACAACTGATTGGGCAATAATCAAGCTGTATGGGGAGATCATTACATTAGGGTCAATGTAACTAGCAGTTGGACAGGGTGAATTTCACCTAGAGTTATTCCTACTTTTCTGAGATCTTGATTGCTGCTCTTTCCTGCTTAATAGCTACCATGTTCCGGATAGTGCAAATGTGGGCAGCACAGTGGCTAAATGGTTAGCACTTCTGCCTGGCAGGACTAGGGAGTTTGAATGTTCTCCCTGTGCCTGCTTGGGTTTACTCCGGGTACTCCAGTTTCCTCCCACACTCCAGACATGCTGGTAGTGCAATTGGATCCTGTCTAAATTGGCCCTAGTATGCGTATGTATGAATGTAAGTTAGAGACCTTAGATTGTACGCCCCTTGAGGGTTAGGGACTGATGTGAATGCATATATATATATATATATATATATATATATGTAAAGGCGCTGCATAAATTGACAGCGCTATATAAGTACCTGAAATAAATAAATAAATGTATGCCAGAAGAATAGAGGCTTGCTCAGGGGTTGATCATTTAATTTGAAGTGATCAGATGCTTCTGTCTATAGACAGCTTTGATGGCCTTAAATGAAATCTCTCTAGAGCATGGTTGTATGAGCTAGGTGTTGGTCTCATGGTCTCTGCTAAAGGTTTTTGGTAGATTTTCTTCTGTTAAACGTGGCCATTCTGTGCTTTTGTCTAAGCAGTGAACCTCCCCATTAGCAAAGATGATGTTACCAATGCCTTGGCAAGAGGTAAGTTTTGTACGCACCACTTTGCTATATCATGTGGCTGGACTGTTAACATGACCTTAAGATGAAGAGTGCCACTCCAAGTACAAACATGTAACAACCAGGGGCAGACTGACAACTCATGGGGCCTCCGGGCAATAGGGGATCATGGGGCCCCTGTGTCCTTGCCCAAACTCAAAATAGCCTATGAAAAAGGTACCAGGGGCATCTCATGAGGCCCCCTACTGACCCCGGGCCCTCGGGCAGTGCCCGAGTTTCCAAATGGTCAGTCCGCCCCTGGTAACAACTTAGTGGCTTCAATGCTGCTGGATGCCGGCATCCAACTGGGCCTGTCCAGCCTGCCAAAAATGAGTATTAGAAATAATAGGGAGCCGCACACCAGTTGCCAACCCAAACACCATGGGTGGAACAATGGTTTTCTCCCTCCCACGGGCTTAGTCAGAGAGACCTCTATGACTATGGATTGGCAGCTGGTGTGCAGCTCCCTATTCTTTTTGATACTAAATATATACACATTACAGTCTGATTGTACAATCTCTCCACACATTCCTTTAGATTTACCAAAACTGTATAATGTAAGGGCCTACCTAAACAACCCAGTCAGTTTGTATCAAGTCAGGCAGGCCCTTCAACTACACAGTTGTTGCTAAATTTAAAGAAAATTGTGCAAGAAGATTGAAACATGTGGACAGCTTTAGTATACAATTGCTTTAAGATAGCTATACACAGAAGGGTTTGATTTGTCAGAAAGAACGCAGACAGCTGAATGGATGACCAGCTATCCAATGTTGACCATTTGGTGTTTGTTTGGTCATCCCACGATGTCTCACTATTCAATACCAGCATAACATTGTTGTATCAACACATGGGATAGAGCATTACAATCTGCCAGATCTCTTTTATTGGAGATGTTGGTCTACCACGGTATTGCTTACATGTCATACGTTGTCTGAACTTGTAAAGGGACATTCCCTTTCCAAGTCATGGGTGTTAATAAGGAGTTACCCCCCCCCCCCCCACCCCTCCATCCTTACCGTGTATATCACAGTCTCCCTTCTTCTGGGAAGGATTTCTAAAAGATTTTGGAGTATGTGGGATTGTGGGCCCATTAACCTTGCGGGCTGGTTGTGGGTGCCGAGATTGCAACTGTTCCTGCAACCACCTGCAGCCTGCTGCCATTTATTTCGAATGACACCTCCATGCATCTCAGCTCGCAGCACGATCACAGGTGTGGGAAATGTAGGGAAATCACACGGTCAAACAGACAATGCAGTTTCCTTGCAGATGTGTTTTTGAAAAGGTGCATGCACTTTTTTTGTGTGGGACACATGGCACAGCAGCCCATTCAAATTATGGGCAGCCATGCCTGTGAACCAGGTCTTAAAGAGAAGTGTGGGATTAAAAAAAAAAAACATACTCACCAATGTGGCTGCATCATCAATACATGCTGCATCTGCCCCCGCCTCTTTTAAGACTGAGAACTAAGAGATCAAAGACTGCTGATCACTCAGTCCTCAGTATTCACTGAGCAGAGAGCAGTGACTGTCAGATAAGAAAAAACTGAAAAAATCCTCCTGGGCTGATATGGAAATAAACCCTACTTAATATCGGCCAACACCCTATAGTAATAACCAATCAACCAATTAAAAGTAATATAGTAAATGGTGCAGCGCTAATACAAATAACTAAACATAAAATATATAATATAATATATTGAAATAATAAAGTGCTATAAATGTAATAACACAAATAAAGGTGAACAACACTGGTGTAAGGGTCACCTTGATGACCTAAATTGGTGATAACACACAGAATATCCAATAAATAAACTCGTGTTAAAGTGTCCTTATTCGTACTCAAAAAAACTATAAACCAAACACTTATAAGTCCATAAATCCAGCTGCAGTGCCTCCTCACCTCCTATACTTGACCAAGTATAGGAGGTGAGGAGGCACTGCAGCTGTTAGTGGATTTAAAGTGTGCTGGCACTTGCACGAAGCTATCACATATTGCATGGTTTTGGGAACACCAAATATTTGTGATTTATGGACTTATAAGTGTTTGGTTTATAGTTTTTTTGAGTACGAATAAGGACACTTTAACATGAGTTTATTTATTGGATATTCTGTGTGTTTATCACCAATTTAGGTCATCAAGGTGACCCTTACACCAGTGTTGTTCACCTTTATTTGTGTTATCACATTTATAGCACTTTATTATTTCAATATATTATATATTTTATGTTTAGTTATTTGTATTAGTTAGCGCTGCACCATTTACTATATTACTTTTAAGTGACTGTCAGATACTGGCTCTCTGCTCTGCCCCTTCAGTGCTCCCTGGAGTGCTGAGCTGTAGAAGGGATGGGAGAGGCTGGTTCAGCCTCTCAACAGTGCACTGACAGGCTGAGCCAGCTGCTGGTCAGGCACCTGGGCAGATACTGACATTATTGTTGGGATTCCTGCAGAGCCTGGACCTGCTGTCGACTGAATCTGGGTCATAGGAGTGCAGAACTGAGTGCACTCCTGTGACCCATAGGAGAAGTATGGCCAAAAGAATGTTGGCCATACTTCCCCTTTAAGTCAAAAAGAGCATTGATGAGCTGAGATATTGATGATGTATGAGAAGACCAGAATGCAATAAGCTCCAAATAGGTGTTCCACTAGGGTTGAAGTTAGGGCTTTGTGCAGGCCATTCAATTAGCTGAATCAAATATATCTTTAAAATTTAATGTGTTTTTCTACTATGTTTTCTAGTTCCATATGTATGACAGTGCTGAACTTCCCCTGTAATAATGTGAAATCAGCATATTCCCAAGGATGGCTGTTGTATGCAGTATAGCAGCGGATAATTGCCAGCTATTGAGGGGTCGCTACCATTGAAACAAGCCCAGGAAACTCCAATAAATCTTTGTCAGTGGTACTATTTGTTACACACTACTTAGATATGTAGTATGATTAGGTGTCTAGGGAAGTGTACAGATTTTGTGCATTCACTGATTTTTATCTAGCCACAAATCAAGATTTCAGAAAGAGAATAAAGAGAAGCAATCAATGGGGTTGGTTTACTAAAACAGGAGAGTGCAAAATCTGGTACAGCTCTGCATATAAACCAATCAGCTTCCAGTTTTTGTTTTTTTTTTTGTCAAAACTTAATTGAACAAGCTGAAGTTAGAAGCTGATTGGCTACCATGCACAGCTGCACCAGATTCTGAGTGCTCCAATTTTAGTAAATTAACCCCAATGCCTCTCGTTGGCCTGGAGTGGTGAAAAATCTGCCCACTATTCACAGTATCCGTTCAGCAATACTAAGGACAAAATAAAAAGAAATATTGCTCAAAGTGCTAATCAGCTATATGCATTCTCTATTTTTTTTACATAAGTATAAAAAATGACAGCAGTTGTTTGATATGAGTTTCTATTAACATGTATGTTTCAAAAAAATAAGGGGTGAAGCAACAGGTTCACCTAAAGCTTATCTAAACCCCCCCAAAAAATATAATATATTGCAGCTTACCAGTTCTTAGATGTGATAGCTCAATTAGCTCAATTTTTTTTTTTTTTTTTTTCAAATTAAGAACATTTTCAGCAAGTACGGAAAATACCTGATTAGTTGGTGAAACATGTTGGGGGCATGGCTTTGGGTGGAAGTGAGGTTTGCAATAAACCTTGGCTGGAGTTGAGTGTCTTTGGATGGTGGACTACAGTGAAGCAAGAGTGGAATCCAGAGCCTTGCACCGAGCCAAATCGAGGAGGATACAGACTGGCCTATGAGTGGGGAAAGGGGTTGGGTTCATCTTACAGAAAACACCTGTTGATCTTGCCAGAAATGCAGTTTCCTTGTTTCTTTCTATGAGATGAAAAGACTGCCTGCTGAGTGCAGAGAGACCATTTTTGCCACACTGCAATGTAAAGCATCGCGGCCAAGGCATGTGTTCACCCCCATCTGCTGCATTTGCAGCTTCGGTGGGAGTGTATTTTACACCCCCCACCCCAAACCACAAATGTAAACATGGCCATAGGCCTTCAATTACAAGTCAGCTGACGCTTTTCAAGGGGAAACCCCTCTTCCTCAGTTCTAACTTAAGCCGGCCATACATGGATCGAATTCCAAAATAATTTTCTTTCGAAAATCTTTTCTAAGAATTTTCATTTGAATTTTGCAGCATTAGTGGGCCACAGAAACAGACGATTTTCGTGCGACCATCGAATTTGAGTGATCGGGCATGTTGGAAATTTCTGTAGCAACATGTGAAATTAAAGGCTTGGTTGGTCAAATTTCAAAATCAATGATGAAACCATCAGATTACAAAACACACAACATTTCCGATTTTCTAAGGAAAATTTGTTCAGAATTTGATCCATGTATGGCCTGCATCACTCATGCTTGCCTCTAGCACACGAGTATGTGTTTTGTCATGTTTGAAGTCCAGCCTGTGTGACAGCCATGGCTCCCTCCATTGATAAAGTAAAGGAATGAATGTAACCATAAAGAGAGAGGAAGTATGGTTTTTTCTGGATCACTAGGAGAAAATAAAAGACAAAAATTAAAAAAAGAATACAGCCACCAACTTTTAGGATTGGTGAAATATTACATTTTTGTTTTTTTGTTGGTTTAGATGCACAAAGTGGTTGTAAAGGCTGAAGGTTTTTTACCTTCATGCATTCTTTGCATGAAGATAAAAAACCTTCTGTGTGCAGCATGCCCCCCAAAACTCACCTGAGCCCCATCTCAATACAGCAATGTGCACAAGAGACTCGGTTGTCCCGCCTGATTGCATGAGACAGAGTGGTAGCCATTGACTCCTACCATTGTCAATCACAGCCAGTGAGCCAATGAGGAGAGAGCCGGGGGGGCAAACCATGCTCTGTGTTTGAATGGACATACAGCGCAGTGGCTTGGGAGCAAGTCTGCTTGGGTGCCCCCATAACAAACTGCTTGCTATGGGGGCACTAGGCAGGAGAGAGGAGTCAGAAACAACGGCTGGGGACCCGAGAAGAGGAAGATTGGAGCTACTCTGTGCACAGAGCAGGTAAGTATAACATGTTTGATATTTTTAAACAAAAAACAATCTGCCTTTAATATCCCTTTAAATTGTGTGCCCTATTCCCCCAATATTCCCCTTTCCTTCACACTCCCATCACTCCATTCAAACTCCAGAAAACAAAAAATATATATACTTCTAGTA